GATCCATCAGTAAATGAAAAATTTTGAAAACAAAAGTACAATCGGGATAAAAAACATATTTATACATGAAATTTACAGATTGAAACAACTTTTATGATGTGCTGACGTCGTTGAAACAACGTCTATGACGCGTTGACGTTTTTGAAACAACGCTTATGACGCATTGACGTCGTTGAAACAACGCTTATGACGCGTTGACATCGTCGAAACAACGTTTATGACGCGTTGATATCGTTGAAACAACGTCTATGACGCATTGACGTCGTTGAAACAACGTTTATTTAAACTTTATTCCCATGTCAGATGCCTATAGCGGGAAGTAACGAAAAAATATAACTCAGTACTCACTGCAGTAAGTGACAAAGCGCGCATTTTCTCGTCGACGAAAACGTTTAGTCACTGACGGACGGACAGACAGACGGACAGACGGACATGGCGAGCACAATAGCGTCTTTCTTCCATTAATGAGAAAATGCGCTAAAAAGTCACACAGTTATGTGGTTAAGCATAAACGTTTATAGTTAACCAGGAAAGCTCTACTTTATGCCATAAAATCGGCTTCGCATCACTTGATATGATAAGTATTAAGTATTCTTATAAGTATTATTAGGTATTGTTAAGTTATAAGAATTGTTAAGTATTCTTCCATTCATGAGAAAATGTACTAAAAAAGGCCGCATAAAAGCAACGGGCCGAGTTCGTTCAATAGTCGAAGAGTTTAGAAATTTAATTCAAATTTAGAAAACAAACGAACAATCAAGAGAAAAAATAAATTTATACCTGAAATTTACAGATTGAAACAACGTTGATGACGCGCTGATGTCGTCGAAACATGTTAATTCAAACTTTATTTCAACGTCAGATGCCTATAGAGGGCAGTAACGAAAAAAATATAACTCAGTACTAACTGCAGTGAGTGACAAAGAGAGCGCATTTTCTCGTCGACGAAAACGTGAAGTCACGGACGGACGGACAGACAGACGGACAGACAGGCGGACAGACAGGCTTACAGACAGGCGGACAGACGGACGGACGGACATGGCGAGCACAATGGCGCCTTTCTTCCATACATGAGAAAATGCACTAAAAACGCTGCATAGAATCAACGGGTCGAGTTTGTTCAATAGTCGAGAGTTGGTCTCCATGGCGCGGCGCCCCAACACCAGGTTGTCGGGGGCGACGCTCCCTCTAGAACATGATGAGCGTCTCACTCAGAGAAATCAGTGAGACGTTGTCCAAATTACGATGTGTTTTTTGTGGGTCATCGTAACCAAGTTTAGCCCGTTTTTTTTGGTCATTCTGACCAAGTTTGGCCCCGCTTTTTTGTGGGTCATTCTGACCAAGTTTGGCCCGGTTTTTATGGGTCATCGTGACCAAGTCTGGCTCGGTTTTTGTGGGTCATCGTGACCAGGTCTGGCCCGGTTTTTGTGGGTCATTCTGACCAAGTTTGGCCCGGTTTTTGTGGGTCATTCTGACCAAGTTTGGCCCGGTTTTTGTGGGTCATCCTGACCAAGTTTGGCCCCGGTTTTTGTGGGCCATTCTGACCAAGTTTGCCCAGAAAATAGGCGTACCAGTGATAATTACAAAAAGTTTGTCACTAATTGGACAATTTGACCGATCTATTTATGAGTGTATGAGCGGGTCATAAGTTCGTGGCTCGGCTCAAGTTTGCAGCGCTTAATCTATTTATTGGGACTAAATACGTGCTTATAAAGGTTGAAGTATAATTATTTCCGTTACTTTGTTATCAATTATAATTTTTATTTTATTTTACGCTAGCTTGTCGAAAAGTCAAAGAACATCGTAGGCAAAGAACAGCTAATTAAAAAGGCCAAAATAGCTACTTAGGGAGGCCAAAATAGCTACTTAGGGAGGCCAAAGACCAGCTACTTAGGGAGGAAGAAATCCTGCCACTTAGGGAGGCCAAAGACCAGCTACTTATGGAGGCCAAAGACCAGCTACTTAGGGAGGAAAAAGTCCTACCAGTTACGGAAACCAAATACCAGCTACTTAGAGGGGCCAAAGAACAGCTACTTAGAGAGGCCAAAGACCAGCTATTTAGGGCGGCCAAAGACCAGCTACTTAGGGAGGCCAAAGATCAGCTACTTAGGGAGGCCAAAGACCTGCTACTTAAGGAGGCTAAAGACCAGCTACTTAGGGAGGCCAAAGACCAGCTACTTAGAGAGGCAAAAGACCAGCTACTTAGGGAGGCCAAAGACCAGCTACTTAGAGAGGCCAAGGACCAGCTACTTAGGGAGGCCAAAGACCAGCTACTTAGGGAGGCCAAAGACCAGCCACCTAGAGAATTTGCATGAATTTTTAATGCAGGAATTGGCGTCAGGTGGCCCTCAGGTCACGCACTACCAATACGTACAGTGACTGTACATGCATCACGCACACGTACAGTGGCTGTACATGAATCACGCATACGTACAGTGGCTGTACATGAATCACGCACACGTACAGTGGCTGTACACGCACCAAGAACACGTACAGTGGCTGTACACGCACCAAGAACACGTACAGTGGCTGTACATGCACCGCGCATGGAATTTCTCACGAATATCTGCAGAAAATTTCGTGACTTTTTCCTTCTTTCAAAAATTCATCCACGGTTGTAGTGATATTTTTTTCTAGATTTGTTGGGTTATTTGGCTCGAAGAAACTAATAAGCATTCCAATATTTTCTAGCTGAGCAAGTCTTTCAAATTTTTTATATTCTGCTTAATATTTTTTAATTAGGGGTTTTTGCCGTTGTTCTACATTCCCTTGTTATTCAAAATTATCGAGCTTACATAACCATTTACTTCTATTTTATTCAAGGCATGAACGCAAATTATATGGAACCGCTAGTCTAAAATTAAGAAAAAATTATTTGCCGTGAAATTTGAGTAGATATTATATTTTCAATTATTATTGAAGAGACACGAGAAAAGAAATATTTTCTTGATGATGGATGTACTGAAAGAGAATAAAAAATTTTTTACTAATTATATAAATTTTGACATAGCGTGTGCGTATAATGTTAATAAAGCTAAACATGAACAAAAAACGGGGCCAACAAACGAATGTTGAAATTAGTTACTCATCACTTCAAAAGATTTAGGAAACAAAAAATACGTTATAATGCTTTAAATCTCAAAAAGATGTTAGCGTAAATCACACGCGTGCAGTCAGATCTGTTATATATGTTGTGGGCAAATTCAAAGAACAAACTTACATGTATATCTGAAAATTAAAACAAAATTAACAGCAATTCTCGCGTTAAACTTAAGTTTGTGACGGTTTAGTTCAAACACCGGGAACTTTAAACCGCCACACGACCGGCTAAGTGGTTAACTTTTGCGAAGCAATCACCATTCAAGTCCAATTCTTGAATGAATACAACTCAAAAAATACAGTTATAAACTGCAATAAACGGTTAACCGTAAATAAAGAGTTAACTGTAATAAACGGTTAACTGCAGTAAACGTTTACCTGTAGTTAACGGTTAACTGCAATAAACGGCTAACTGCAGTAAACGGTTAACTGCAGTTAACGGTTAACTGCAGTAAACGGTTAACTGCAGTAAACGGTTAACAGCAATAAACGGTTAAGTACAGTTAACCGTTAACTGCAATAAACGGTTACCTGCAGTAAACGGTTAACTGCAGTAAACGGTAAACTTCAATAAACGGCTAACTGCAGTTAACGGCTGACTGCAGTAGACGGTTAACTGCAATAAACGGTTACCTGCAATAAACGGTTAACTGCAGTAAACGGTTAACTGCAATAAACGGTTAACTGCAATAAACGGTTGACTGCAATAAACGGTTAACTACAGTTAACGGTTTACCTCACAAAGAGTTGACGCCGAAAAAAAGGTTAAGGTGGAAAACTTGAGTAAGTCAGTGGAGCTCTCGTAGGTTCAGACTCAAGCTGCTAGAGATGAATTAATCAAACATAACAAACATACAAACACACAAACGTCCTTGTATGATAAGCAACAAGCAATTGCGTTTGCATCGCAATTATAGTGTGGCTAATACAAACGCGCACGCATGATACTCTCAATCACTCATATTATGAGAGTATGAACACTAATTCATATTATGGATCTATGAATATATAAATACATCATATTATGAATACATCGTATGAATATATCAACAGACATCGTATGAATGTATCAACAGACATCGTATGAATGTATCAACACACATCGTATGAATGTATCAACACACATCGTATGAATGTATCAACACAAATCGTATGAATGTATCGACACAAATCGAATGAATGTATCAACACACATCGTATGAATGTATCAACACACATCGTATGAATGTATCAACACAAATCGTATGAATGTATCGACACAAATCGAATGAATGTATCAACACACATCGTATGAATGTATCAACACACATCGTATAAATGTTTCAACGATCTTGTACACAAACAGAACCTGAGCCTGAATTGGCAAATTTCGTTTCGGTGGACAAACGATCAAAATAAACTTTTGGGAAAACAAATCAATCGTAATTTTTACGATGATCGTAATTTTTATGATGATCGTAATTTGTACGATGATCGTAACTTGTACGATGACCGTAATTTTTCGTAATTTTACGATGATCATAATTTTTACATTGATCGTAGTATATACGATGATCGTAGTTTTGACGGTGATCGTAATTTTCAGGATGATCGTAATTTTTTCGATGATTGTAATTTTTTCGATGATTGTAATTTTTACGATTATCGTATTTTTTATTTTTATCGTAGTTTTTACCTTGATCGTAATTTTTACGATGATCGTAATGTTAAATTTTAATCATTTTAGCCCAATTCTCAGCCAGGTTAAGCTGTGGCACAGTATAACTTATTCTTCTTACGCAATCACGTACGGGATAAGTGGGTAACCATGGTAACTAAGTGGGTCATGGTGGGGGTGCTGGTAACATGTGGGTGGGGGGAGGGGTGTGATGGGTAAAAATAAGTGTGTCAGGTTGACTCACCCGTACTGGGGAGGCAGGAAGGTCTGGTAGCGATGCATCGTAGCGGCCGCCGTCGCGTACGCTTCAGGGGTCATAACTGTAACAGCAGGTAATTATGTTAGGTAGGAATAGCATGGGGAGGGTAATGGTAGGTAGGAATAACATGAGGAGGGTAATGGTAGGTAGGAATAATGATGTGTGTAAGGTAATGTATATATAGAATAACACATATACAGTTTATATGGCAATGAATAACGTGGCTTTCATTATGCTTAGCTGATATAACTATATAAGCAAAAATTATTCGGCCCTTATTTAGGAGCCTAGTGTTTGTTACAAGTAGATATATGATGCAGTAAATATGTATATAAGCATAAGTGCAGTAAGCTAACAACGCTTGATTCCTTACATGTCTGAAAAAGTACAAAATTGCAATATCTCAATTTTGTAAAGGAGATTGCTATTTATCAAACATGTATTATAAGTTGTAATCTATGTTGCGTAAATAGTTGTAATCTATTGTAGTATAGTTGTAATTTATCTATAATAGTTTTAATATAATTTATAGTAGTAGTAATTGTAATCTATGTTGCATTAACTATTCAGAAAGCAAACAGGACAGAATCCATCATAAAATAAATTGGACGTAGGCTGTCCTCGAAAAAAGCTCTGTTGAAATGAAAGATGTTTAAAAAAACGTAAACTTCAGAGCTCTTGTATTAGTAAACTTTAACATATTGAATGAAAATTAAACTTTAAGGACTTAAATACCCGATCCAAGATACCACACCCGTTAGACGGTCAATAACACGGCCATAACACGGCCACAACACGGCCATAACACGACCATAACACAGCCATAACACAGCCATAACACGGCCATAACACATCCATAACCCCACCATAACATGGCCATAACACGGCCATAACACAGCCACAACACGGTCATAACACAGCCATAACACATCTATAACCCCACCATAACACTGCCATAACACAACCACAACACGGCCATAACACGGCTATAACACTGTCATAACACAGCCATAACACGGCCATAACACTGTCATAACACAGCCATAACACGGCCATAACACCGCCATGACACGGCCATAACACATCCACAACACGGCCATAACACTGTCATAACACGGCCATAACACGGCCATAACAGTCATACTCTACAGTCACGTACACGGCTGGCGCAGGCGGAGGCTCCCTGGCCGATAAGATACGCGCGTATCTCTGCCGTATCCTGCACGTGCGCTACGTGTCTGCCGTATGAGCTGCTGCACCACACGTTATTTACGCACATGAATTCATTACATTAAATGCATTCATTCTTTGACTCGCAGTTAGTCATTTACCTGCAGGTAGTCTTTCATTCATTGGCATCCAGTCATACAATCAGTCATTCAATCATTCATCTGTTCATACATTGACAAGTAGTCATCCATTCATTGGCACGCAGTCATTTAATCATTCATTCGTTTATACATTGACAAATAGTCATCCATTCATTGGCACGCAGGCATTCAATCATTAATTAGTTCATACATTGACAAGTAGTCTTTCATTCATTGGCACGCAGTCATTCAATCATTCATTCGTTCATACATTGACAAGTAGTCATCCATTCATTGGCACGTAGTCTTTCATTCATTGACAAGCAGTCACTTATTCATAGTCACGCAGTCTTTCATGCATTTTCACGCAGTCATTCATGCCACGCAGTTAAATATGCGTTAGCATGCAGCATGCTTTGGAACGCAGTCATTCACGCGTGGGCATGCAGCCATTCATGCATTGAACGCATGAATAATTCATAAAATTCGCCGACACGGAACATCAATGTTCAACTTCAGCCAATAACTCTCATTACACTCATTTAGGTTTTTTAAAAGAATGAATAATTAATAATTATTGAATGAGTAACTTGTAAGCTACATTAATATTCCATAAGAAGTCACGCATGAATGACACGCTCGCTCTCACCTCGGTCGTTTATGTCATTCACGAACCGTTGTCATTTTCACGACTAATCTACTATCATTTTTCTGTCAAAGTTTATCGCTTTGTTATCGCTTTGTGCTCCTGTTTTGCCATCCACCTCATCCAGTCTACCAAGACACTTCTGTGTCTCAAAAACATTATTATTTCATCAATATCCTTTCTCTTTTATTAGGATCTCAAAAAGGAAATCTTCGGCGTGCACAAGGATTAACAATTCCTATATTATTAGGCCTTCTCAGTAATTTAAATCTGTGTGCAATTTCTTAGACCAATGAGAAATACAATGGACCTAAAGATATATATTATTCTAATTAATTTAATCATTATATTTAGTGCAATGAAGTCATATTTAAGAAAAAATTGAAGAGAAAAAAAGAGAAAGCAATATAACTTCAGGCCTCAAAAAGGCTAACTAGAGGCTGGTTTAGGCTAGACGAAGTTAATTCAGTAGGATAATGTTATGGATAACGTAGGATAATGGTTATAATGTTATGGATAACATTATAACAATTGTATGGATGTTGTTATGGCTAACGTTTGGTCTGTTTTGTAGCGCTGCTTAATTAAGGAGCTTGGAAGCTGAGAAGCTGCGCCTGGCGATGCTGATAAGCGGACGCTGATAACGCGCTTAGCTCTGCCAGCTCTGACTAGAGGATGTCATCATGCCTAGACATGGTGTGCTGACACGTCATCATGCCTGGACATGGTGTGCTGTGGCAGCATGCCTAGACATGGTATGGTGACACGTCATCATGCCTAGACATGCTATGCTGACACGTCAGCATGCCTAGACATGGTATGCTGACACGTCATCATGCCTAGACATGGTATGCTGACACGTCATCATACCTAGACATGCTATGCTGACACGTCAGCATGCCTAGACATGCTATGCTGACACGTCATCATGCCTAGACATGGTATGCTGACACGTCATCATGCCTAGACATGGTATGCTGATACGTCATCATGCCTAGACGTGGTGTGCTGACACGTCATCATGCCTAGACGTGGTGTGCTGACACGTCATCATGCCTAGACATGGCGTGCTGACACGTCATCATACCTAGACGTGAAGTGCTGACACGTCAGCTTACCTAGACATGAAGTGCTGATACGTCATCATGCCTAGACGTGGTGTGCTGACACGTCATCATGCCTAGACGTGGTATGCTGACACGTCATCATGCCTAGACATGCTATGCTGACACCTCAGCATGCCTAGACATGATATGCTGATACGTCAGCTTACCTAGACGTGAAGTGTTGATACGTCATCATGCCTAGACATGGTATGCTGACACGCGAGCATACCTAGACATGAAGTGCTGATATGTCATCATGCCTACACATGGCGTGCTGACACGTCATCATGCCTAGACATGGTACGCTGCACGTCAGCATACCTAGACATGAAGTGCTAAAATGGCAGCATACCTAGACATGGCGTGCTGGCACGGCTGCTTACCTAGACATGGCGTCCTGGCATGGCAGAGTGAGGGGAGAGTGAGGGGAGAGTGGGGGGAGAGTGAGGGGAGTGAGGGTAGAGTGAGGGTAGAGTGAGGGGAGAGTGAGGGTAGAGTGAGGGTAGAGTGAAGGGAGAGGACGCTATTCTTAGCCCAGCCCTCAGGCCCTCAGGACGTCTTTCGTCTGCAGCCTCGAGATGCCTACAAATATTGACGTCAATATAGGCAGTAATACGCAGAAATATTGACCCTCTGAACAGCGTAAATATTGTGACTATTTTCATGACAAACTGCCAAGTGGGCATGAGTATAATTAGTATACTATTTGATATACGCGCATAATATTGATGATAATATACGATCAAGCACCAGGGCTGATATACGCAATATACGCTGAAAGATCGAGGCTCATATACGTTTAAACATCAGTGATGATATATGCAATATACGGTGCAATATCGAGGCTCTTATACACTGAAACATCAGTGCTGCTAAACGCAATATACGTTGAAACCTCAGGGCTGCTATACGCAATATACGGTGAAGCATCGTGGCTGATATACGGTAAAACTTCAGAGCTGATATATGGTGACACAGCATGGCTGAAATACGGTGAAACGCCATGGCTGATATACGGTGAAATTTCAGGGCTAATATACGGTGAAACTTCAGGGCTAATATACGGTGAAACTTCAGGGCTGATATACGGTGAAACCTGATGGCTGATATACGGTGAAACAGCATGGCTGATATACGGTGAAACTTTAGGGCTGATATACGGTGAAACTTCAGGGCTTATATACGGTGAAACCTGATGGCTGATATACGGTGAAACAGCATGGCTGATAAATGCAATATACCGTGAAACGTCATAGCTGATATACGGCGAAACGTCAGGGCTGATAAACGGTGAAATTTCAGGGCTAATATACGGCGAAACCTGATGGCTGCTATACGGTGAAACAGCATGGCTGATAAAATGCAATATACCGTGAAACGTTATGGCTGATATACGGTGAAATGTCATAGCTGATATACGGAATATTGGCACAAATTACAGTGCTGTTATACGGTCCAACGGACTAACCGTTGAGTGACTCTGAATATATAAAATTATTGCGTAAATTAACAGAATATTTAACAAGTGATGTAAATTACGGAAAAGTCAAGGCAGTAACCTAATATTAGGTCTTCTCAAGAAATGCCATTAATCTAAAGTAGTTAGTCTGTTAAAACACACAGCGGAAATCTGGTCCTAAAACCGGGACAATCGGAATAAGAAACTTAATTGGTGTTTAAATGAACAGGGCCCATACTTTCAAAAAAAGTTGAGAGATCGTAAGTTCATCAGCCAATCATTGACGCCTTTTAAGCAAAATCCACCAATCATAGACAAGAAAATAAGCGTAAGTCCTTACGTTCACTTAGCTAGTTTTGTAAGCATGGCTCCTGGCAGGGCTATAGAAATACACTGATTTCACTTGTAGTGAAAATGTCATAGTACAGTGTTAGAGTGTATGTGTGTAATCTCATAGTCATACTAATGCCAGGTTGCACAGCATGCATATACATCACGGCATATACAGGTTCCACAGCACATATACATATATATCATGACATATACAGGTTGCACAGCATATATATATCACTGCATGTACAGGTTATACAGTATATATATGTCACGACATATACAGATTACACAGCATATATACATCACTGTATGTAAAGGTATATATAGAGGTGTATAGAGGCTACACAGCATATATATATATATCACAGCATATACAGGTTGCACAGCATATATGTATACACCACTGAATATACAGGCTACACAGCAAGCTGCAGGCCGCAGGCGCTGTACACGTGCGACCAGCGCAGGTGTGCGGCGCTGCGCAGGTGTTGGGCAAACACCGGTGTGTGGTGTGTGTGGTGTGTGTGAAATGTGTGGTGTGTGTTGTGTGTGATGTGTGTGAAATGTGTGGTGTGTGGTGTGTGTGNTGCTGCACAACTGCTGCACAACTGCTGCACAACTGCTGCACAACTGCTGCACAACTGCTGCACAACTGCTGCACAACTGCTGCACAACTGCTGCACAACTGCTGCACAACTGCTGCACAACTGCTGCACAACTGCTGCACAACTGCTGCACAACTGCTGCACAACTGCTGCACAACTGCTGCACAACTGCTGCACAACTGCTGCACAACTGCTGCACAACTGCTGCACAACTGCTGCACAACTGCTGCACAACTGCTGCACAACTGCTGCACAACTGCTGCACAACTGCTGCACAACTGCTGCACAACTGCTGCACAACTGCTGCACAACTGCTGCACAACTGCTGCACAACTGCTGCACAACTGCTGCACAACTGCTGCACAACTGCTGCACAACTGCTGCACAACTGCTGCACAACTGCTGCACAACTGCTGCACAACTGCTGCACAACTGCTGCACAACTGCTGCACAACTGCTGCACAACTGCTGCACAACTGCTGCACAACTGCTGCACAACTGCTGCACAACTGCTGCACAACTGCTGCACAACTGCTGCACAACTGCTGCACAACTGCTGCACAACTGCTGCACAACTGCTGCACAACTGCTGCACAACTGCTGCACAACTGCTGCACAACTGCTGCACAACTGCTGCACAACTGCTGCACAACTGCTGCACAACTGCTGCACAACTGCTGCACAACTGCTGCACAACTGCTGCACAACTGCTGCACAACTGCTGCACAACTGCTGCACAACTGCTGCATAACTGCTGCACAACTGCTGCACAACTGCTGCACAACTGCACTAAACGGCTGTACGTTATAGGTGAAAGTCTCGGCTTTATTTTTCAGCGGTACGCTTTAAAGTTATAGTAGTACGATACAGTACTACTACAGTACTCTACAGTACAGTAGGGTAGTAGTAGTAGTAATTTAATTGTAAGATAGGCGAGTGCATTGCAATTAAACGGTACGGCTGTACGTCCAAAAATTACTGCAATTATATACAAATTTAAAGAATTATTAAATAATATGTGCATTATATGTGTATATGTGTATATAAGAATTAACACTACCGTAGTAATTTTATCCTTATTTAGAAAACCCTAATCGAAAAAAGAGTTTCATCCTTTTGAAAATGGATTTGATGTTATATGGGTAGAATTAATTTTCATAAATAAAATATTATTTGTTAGAGTTATTTTATTAATTTCTGGGCATTTTCTCGATACGTTGAATAATGAGTAAATTCTTCAGTAGCAAGATTTGGTCACTTGAGGGCAGGATAGAATTTGTTAAACAGGAAGGTTTTAAACGCACGGAACTCGCCCGACCGGTGATATGCTCTGCTTCTGCCACGTGATACTCTGCAGCCGCTGAGCCTGTAGAGTATCAGGAGACTCTGCACACTTTGCAGAGCACCAGCACACTTTGCAGAGCACCAGCACACTTTGCAGAGCACCGGCACACTTTGCAGAGCACCAGCACACTCTGCAGAGCACCAGCACACTTTGCAGAGCACCAGCACACTTTGCAGAGCACCGACACACCTGTCTCTTATACACATCTAGATGTGTATAAGAGACAGACGCTACACGAGGCCAGTACGCTACACGAGAAAAGTACGCTACACGAGGCCAGTACGCTACACGAGGCCAGTACGCTACACGAGGCCAGTACGCTACACGAGGCCAGTACGCTACACGAGAAAAGTACGCTACACGAGGCCAGTACGCTACACGAGGCCAGTAGCATGATAATTAGTGGCGCTATCATTTAAAGCTTATTATTTATTATTTATTAATTAGTGGCCACTAAAACTATCATTTAAAAGTTGTAATGGCCGCCACTACTGTCCACGTGTACAAGGCGCATCGTGTTACGAGGTCGCGCGTTATTTAGCTCAGTATCTGTTATTATTTATATACGTTAATTAGCGTAGATATATGAGTATCGCGTTATTTAGCTCAGTGTCTGGCATGTAAAGCTGGGCTGCGTGGCTGCCGGTGTGGTGTATTGAATGTCAGTCTGGTGCCGGTGAAGGAAAGATAGAAAGAAAGTGGGAAAGAAATAAGGAAAGAAAAAAGGAAAGAAAAATGGAAAGAAAAAAGGAAAGAAAAAGGAAAGGAAAAAGGAAAGAAATAAGGAAAGAAAAAGGGAAAGAAATGAGGAAAGAGCGCGTGAGGAAAATATGTACAGAGAGAAAGAAATGCGTAAGAGATAGAGATAAGGAATGAACAACAAGAATTTGATGATGAGGTTAGAAAGGAATAAACAGGTTAAAATTAGAAATGCTCGAGTGTGCGAGAAAAATATATACAGAGAGAATGAAATAAGGACGAGATAGAGATAAGGAATGAACAACAAGAATTTGATGATGATGTTGGAAAGGAATAAACAGGTTAAAATTAGAAAATGGTCGAGTGTAAGGAACATAACGAGTTCATTATATTGAGTGATAATGACACGAAGGGATTGATAGTGAAAGCAAATGAGATTAATAGGTGAAAAATGAAAAAGATGGATAGAGAGGAGAGGAAATGAGTAGAAAGAGTGCGGAGATAAGAAGAGAAGAGAAGAACAGTGAAGATTAGAGAAAAGAAAAAGAAGAAAGGCAGAGTGGAGAGGTAGAGAATAGACGAAAAGATGAGAAGAAAGATCAGAGAGGAAAGGAAGAGAGGAGAAAGAGAGAAGAGAAGAGAGGCGAGTGCGACAGATACCCTGTAGCTCCAACGCTCGTATCACGTGACGGCCTCAGACAGCAGCAGGTGTATCTAGTGAGCAGCAGGTGTATCTAGTGAGCATCAGGTGTATCTAGTGAGCAGCAGGTGTATCTAGTGAGCAGCAGGTGTATCTACTGCACTGGCACTGCACTGCCACTGCACTGCCACTGCACTGCCACTGCACTGCCACTGCACTGCCACTGCACTGCCACTGCACTGCCACTGCACTGCCACTGCACTGGCACTGCCACGTATCCGAAGTCTATGTTATTTAATTTCTAAGTAGAGAAGCGACTCGACCTTATTTATCAAGTGTAAAAAATAAATGGAGAAACTCAGGTAAAAATATATGATTTTTATTACATTTATTGTTAAGATGACAGCGCATGACTGACCGTACCGTAATGCTGGCATACAACACAGCAATGATGGTTACAGTCATGGTAGCGAGTCAGCGACATTGTAAAAAGACCACTAAATTATAGGAGCCTCAAATGGTCAACTTACGCGACTGACAGGAAAATTATTGCGCAATCACCTTAATTTTTTCGTTATAATGCCCAATATTTATTGTACGTGGTGTTTATATTAGCACTAACTGACGGGTTATGTGATCTGGATTTATAGGAATAATATGATATGGCGTAGGGTTTATAATACCAACTATAGTTAGTTAGGAATTCCTTTCCTTGTAATTCGTCTCCTTGCCTAATATTATAATTTTTTTATTAGCACTAATCTGACTTGGGTTATATGATATAAAATTAAAATGGTATGACACAGAGTTTATAATATCAAATTATTTCATGTAGGAATACCATTACACGCACCATAGTAGCTCTGTTCGTCCGTCGTGGCGCTGGTGACGCCGGCCATGATTAATAATTAAAATACCATGACATAGAGTTAATAATAACAAATTACATCAGGTATGAATACCATTACACGCACCATAGTAGCTCTGTTCGTCCGCCGTGGCGCTGGTGACGCCGGCCGCGCGCTGGGGGTTGTGCTTTGCGCCGATGAAGGCGTAGTTGACGTTAGACTTGCGGCCCTGGATGACGGGGTTAGGGTTCTGTACTGCACGCGCAGCCGCCTTCGTATCGGCCATCGTAACCTGGAAATAAAGTATGAAGATCGTATTAGTGAAATAGAATCAAAAGAAATATCAAACGAATCAATTTTTAATCAAACTTGACTCTGTATCGGCCATTATGTTTCACTATGTATGGGCTATTATTTATGATTATGTTTGTGATGATTATGTTTATTATGATTATGTTTCACAATGTATCGGCCATCGTAACCTGGCAATAAAAATACAATAAATTAGTAAAGTGCAATCCAGTGCCAGGTATTAAAACGGAAAACAAATAAATGAGACATGAAATGAACGCTAGTAAACGGCCTACCTATATACTATCATCGTATCATTGAAACAGAATTAAAAAAAAAAGTAGACAAATCAATTTTTAATCAAACTTGACTATATGACAGCCTTTGCACGGAAAGGCTGTAACCTGGAAATAAAGCATAAAGATCGTATCAAGGAAATAGAATTAAAAGAAAAATCAAACTATTTTTATTATTGACATTAACGATTTTATCGAACGATTTTTTGATTAAAAATTTATTTAATCAAACTTGACTAGATGACAGCCTTTGCATGGAAAGGCTGTAACCAGGAAATAAAAGCATAAAGATCGTATCAGTGAAACAGAATTAAAAGAAAAATCACACGAATCAATTTTTAATCAAACTTGACTAGATGGCCGCCCTTGTATCGACCATTGTAACATGGAATTAAACACACAACATTCGTATTTCTGAATCAAAATTAAAAGGAAAATCAATCAAAAATTAATACATTTTTATTGAAATTCGTCTTAATTTCGTCATGGCAGCTCTACCGTAAATATACAAATTTTCACTAACTTCGGAGATATTCTAGATGATGGACCGGTTTGTCAAGAATTCTTTTGTTTTAAATATGGACGGATGAAAAATTTTTCTAAATGATCGTCATTGACACAAATGGTCACTTATATACTCACATTATATACATATAAAATTCTGGGTACTATTCAAATTTGCATCATTAACTAACTGATAACTAACCAACTCCTACTAAAAAAATTCTAGGCGAACAAATTAGCAAAACACATCAGATGATCGCAAAGAGCTTCAACGTTGGCTAAATTTCTAAAGTTGAGATTAAATTAAAAAGGTATGTTTTGACGAAACCAAAAATGAATGACAAATGAGAATTAGACATTAGCGTGTTTGCAAGGTATTAGTGCAAAATCAAAAAATTAAAGTAAAAAACGCAAAGTTTTTATTTTTTCAATTTTTTAGTTCTCGTAGTTTTTATGGGATCCCGAACGCCCAAAAACGTCAGTCTCAGTCGTAAAAATATCGAAATAGAAAAATACATAAAAGTTTGATGGGATAATGAGATACTGTTTCCATTAGCTGCTAAATGGGATGTCTGATGGAAATATTTTTTTTTCGGAAGCAGATATGATCGATGGGATGTCTGATGATCATTTCTGTGATGATCATGAGTTTAATGAGGATAATCGTTAAGATAATCGTTAATTAGGTGTCATTGTAGGCTGTGGATACAGCCACTCGCAGAAACTGTCAGAACATCCCGCTTGATAAGCCTTATTAAAAAAATTTCATCAAAAAACCCACTGTTTTCTCTTTCGAATTCGTTAAAATTTCTGTTATCTTAAATTCTGTTTTTTTTTAGTTTGAAAATTTTGCCATTTATTGTCTGAACGTTTTTTTCTAATGAAAATGTAAAGTCACAGTTAAAAAATAAGAAGTGAATTTCAAGGTTTGGTCAATAAACTACAAAGGTTCAGAAGTGACTGACGTGAGTTTGTTTAATGATACCAGTGGAAAAAAGTTTAGGCTTAAAAAAGTTCATGTTTCAAAAGTTCCATTGATTAGTTTTGAATCAAGTGCATCGAAAACTCATCATGTATTCGGGAGATAGAAAAGAATCACGAAACGCATGTAAGATAAAGAGGCGTTTGAACGCTTGCCAAGAGCGTTGTTACGGCTGTGCTCCATTTAACTCAATATATTCCGGAATATTCTATATACTATTAAAAATATATTATATTGTGTACGCATAATATTCAGTATGACTATATAAACTCTATCGCCATGAATTACTGGTTGCAGATCAATTCAACTCTTTGCAAGTTATTCGATCAATGCGATTTCGCTCAATTATTCTAAAACCAATTGTTACTTTACATCCTTGTTTTTAAATCAAGCAGCTCTGTACATTTTTATTTTATTTATTTATTTTTTTTTAAATGCCTCCCACACTCACCATTCCAACAAAACGGAATTAATTTTATTAATTAAATACAGGGAATGGTTTCATGTCAAAGATCAGGGCCCCAAGTACGAATAAATTTACGAGTACGAATAAATTCATTTCACGTAGGCCCTTCACTCGATGCCTAAATTAAAAGTTTGCATTTCGGCTCAACGCTACTCTGCTATCGATCGTTACTCTATTGCTAACAGTAATTTAATTCTAATAATCCATTCCAGTTCACTAGGTTATCTCTACTTAAAGTGTAAATGAGGAAGTTGAAAGAGAGTACAATAAAAAATTAACTGTTTGCCCTAACGCTATTCCTACCTGTAGTTAAATAAGTTAGTCTAAACACAGTACAGTAAATAGCGAACTTTAGTCATCTGTTCTAACGCTATTCCTACCAAAATCGAAATACAGTAAATAGCGAACTTTAATCATCTGTTCTAACGCTATTCCTAACCGAATTTTTGATGAGGTAGTCAGCAGGAAACAGTACAGATTATAGCGAGTTTTAGCGCTATTCCTACTGAGATATGAACAAGTCAGGCCCTGAGAGGGGCACTCTAGAAGGCACGAGCTTAGCTCTAATGCGTCGCCGGTCGATCGCGAGACGAGATGGGGCAGCGCTACCATGTACGTCGTTAGCGTTACCATGTGCGTCGTGTGTACGTCGTTAACGTTACCATGCGCGTCGTGTGTGTTTGTGTGCGTCGTTATGCCAACTGTATGTTTATTTTCGTGACTGCTGTAGTGCCACCACCGCTGGCACTGTGCCACCTTCGGCGGGATATCGCGCTTAACTGCACCTTTTATATTCTATAGTTCCTATCTCATTAAATTTTTTCATCACATTCTCCTAAAATATAATGTAGAATCTATTGGTCAGTTGAATGTAAAGTTAAAATTAGGTTAGAAATTAATGTTACGAGTAATTTTGAGCAATTATTTAGAAATTTTGAGCGTGAAGCGTTCGGCTAAACATGGCAGGGTTAAGCGGCAGCGCCAGACAAATTTAGTGAGCTTGAAGAGGCCATGTTGGGTTCATTGCAGTTTGATATATAACATGGCGGTTCACGACATCATGTTTCACTGCATTGGGGTTCACTGCGTTGTGTTCACGTCATTGCAGTTCATTACAGTGTGATTTATTGCATTATGACTCGAGGCAATTTGATGTACTGAGTTGTGATTCATGATATTGACGTACAATATATTTTTCTTTAATTAAGCATTGTGATTCACGGCATTGTAACTCATTTCATTGTGGCGTACGGCATTTTTCTTCCTGGCACAGTCATGATAGATGGCACAGTCACGGCAGATGACACAGTCATGTCAGATGGCACAGTCATGGCAGATGGCACAGTCATGGCAGATGGCATAGTCACGGCAGATGGCACAGTCATGTCATATGGCACAGTCATGCCATATGGCAAAGTCATGTCATATGACACATTCATGGCAGATGGCACAGTCATGTCATATGGCACAGTCATGTCATATGGCAAAGTCATGTCATATGACACAGTCATGGCAGATGGCACAGTCATGGCAGATGGCACAGTCATGGTAGATGGCACAGTCATGTCATATGGCACAGTCATAGCAGATGACACAGTCAAGTCATATACACAGTCATGGCAGATGGCACAGTCATGTCATATGGCACAGTCATAGCAGATGACACAGTCATGTCATATACACAGTCATGGCAGATGGCACAGTCATGGCAGATGGCACAGTCATAGCAGATAACACTGTCATGTCATATGGCACAGTCATGTCATATGGCACAGTCATGTCATATGACACAGTCATGGCAGATGACACAGTCATGGCAGATGACACAGTCATGGTGGAAGACGCAATCGAGGCAGATGGCACAGTCATGTCATATGGAACAGTCGTGGCAGATGGCACAGTCATGACATATGGCACAGTCATGACACAGTCATGGCGCAGTCAAGCAGGCAATTGAGACGCAGGATGGCTCAGATGACAGCGTCTGCGACGCGTGCTGGTGCCAAAGTCTTGAGCCAGGAGCAGCCATTCGTGCACTTATACTGAATTAACGTGTATATTTATATATTAGAAGAATACACGTGTAAATGAGATAAATGCGTGATAATGCACACATATATGCGTGATAATAAACATTTATATGTGTGACAATAAACATCTATATTGGGATTATTCGGCAGAAGTTCTCCCTTTATTAGTCAGTTTATTTGGAAAAAGTGAGGTTTGAAAAAATGTTCATGTTTCAAAAGTTCATTTATTAGTTTGAAATCAAGGGCATGGAAAACTCACAGAGCTATTGTGTATATTTATATATACACATTTATATTGGGATAATTCGGCAGAAGTTCTTACTTTATGCAAGCCTGATTGAATACCAGAGAATGTTTTTAAATATATACATACAGATGAGGCATGTACATGTATATAGTAGCAGCCGTGTCTCGCGAGATGGATGCTGCAACGCGTGTCCATTAGGAAGCTTTTAAAATTGCCTGATTCGCATTCTCGCTGTCACCATGAATTGCTGAGTGCCTCGATTGGCTAGAAATCTAGGGAGTTACTTGCTCTGTAGTTTACACTCTAGAGAGGTCCTTGCTCTTTTTCTTTCAATCTAGAGCATTATTTGCTCGCAGCTATCCAGCTACAGGTGTTTTAATTTACAGTTTGCAATCTATAGCGTTTTCGGCACTGTAGCGAACAATATAGAGCTTCTCTCTACATTGTAGCGAACAATATATAGAGCTTCTCTCTACATTGTAGTGAACAATATAGAGCTTCTCTCTACATTGTAGCGAACAAAATAGAACTTCTCTCTACATTGTAGCGAACAATATAGAGCTTCTCTCTACACTGTAGCGAACAATATAGGGCTTCTCTCTGCATTGTAGCGAACAAAATAGAGCTTCTCTCTACATTGTATCGAACAATATAGAGCTTCTCTCTACATTTTAGCGAACAATATAGCGTTTCTCTTAGCATTGTAGCGAACAATATAGAGCTTCTTTCTTCATTGTGGCGAACAATATAGAGCTTCTCTCTGCATTGTAGCGAACAATATAGAGCTTCTCTCTGCATTGTAGCGAACAATATAGAGCTTCTCTCTGCATTGTAGCGAACAAAATAGAGCTTCTCTTAGCATTGTAGCGAACAATATAGAGCTTCTCTCTACATTGTAGCGAACAAAATAGAGCTTCTTGCTGCATTTTAGCGAACAATATAGAGCTTCTCTCTACATTTTAGCAACAACCTAGAGCTTCTGCTACTAATTGCTTCTCCAATTAAACTATAGAACTTGCTTCGCCAATCCTATCATTGAGGTCACTTCAGAAGGTCTGTCGCTGAAATTTATTTTTCAGATTCTGATTGCACGCGTACAACGTTTTGAAATGTTCCTGTCATATCTAATGACGTATAATAAATATCTAATATCAGTCTTATTGCTGTGTTTTAACTTCTTTAAAAAGACGTCAGTTTCAGTTGAGTTTTACAGAGCAGGGAAGTATGAAAATTACAATGGAATCAAATGGTATTTTTTACACGAAGTGAATGACATGAATATGATATTTTTGAACGACCTCTAACTAAAGCAGAATGTATCATTTAGACGGCTTACAGGCATTAAAGGTATATATTTTCTCTAACTAAATCATTTCATTTGTTAATGCGGTGCGTAAATATTGTAGGAAATCCTTTAAGAGTGAATAAATGCGTGCGAGACTACATTTAATAATCATAGATTCAATAATTAAAAAGAAGAATAATAATAAATTGTTCACGAATAACGTTTTTTTATAAATAAATCCTTCCAAGAGCGCCTTTTATTTAGGTTTTCATCCATTAATTCTATGTAATACTTCAGTCAAATTTTGAAATCCCGATATTTCGTTCTAAAGAAAACAATTCCTCAAAATTCTTTGTTTTCAGAGATAATTCGTGAGAAATTATAAATCAATGACTGCCGTAGTGTGATACATTTTAAACTTTACTCATTATATTTTAATTGTGCAAATTCATTTATTTAGAGATCCGTTTCAACTGAATAATTATCATCATAAGTGTTTTGCCTAACTAGAGTCATGTGACTGCTAACTTAAATGAATAAAAATGATTTTTTGAGGTTAAACTACTGCAGTTAAAGTTTATTAATAAATTTCAACTGTAGCATGGTTTTATATAGGCATTTCAGTTTTTCAATAGAAAAGTCCCCACCCAAATAAACTGGTCACGATTTGCATGTGTCTGCTACGTCACGGTCTTCGTAAACCGTTCATTAAATCGTTACAAAATTAGTTCATCAATAAAGGATTCGTTGAAACGTTCATACATCATTAAAAGAATCTTCAAAAAGATCATAAGTCATATACGTATAGAACAAAAGGACAAAAAGTTCATATATCTTTAAAATATTTGTCAGGTCGTTCATAATTGATTCCAGGAGAAATAAAAATCGCTTTCGAGTGCAGGACTCACGCAGCACTGCACGAAGACACGACACACAGCACGAAAACACGCAACACTTTACGAAGAAATGCAACACTGCACGAAACCACGCAACACTTCACGAAAACACGCCGCTTCTACAGCCAAAAGAAGACAAACAAGCGCCTAAATACGCAATCAAAAGTTTCACGCAGAAAACGCTACGCTATCGCCATACCAATCTGAGTTATGAGCAATCATGGGCGGGATACTCAAACACGATTGCCGCAAGATCAATTAACCAATCAGTAATCACGGTTTGCAAATCACTTTTAAAAATTTACTACTTATTTCTCTGGCGCAACGATAAACGCAAATCCGAACCTGAATTAAGATCATGTATGAATAAATAAGGTAACCGGTGTTTCAAATTTAGACCCGAAAGACCCTGATGAGAATCTGGAGCCTTTCATTGACGGTTGATGATCACCCAATGATGCGCTAATAAGTTATGGGTCGGAGTCGATCTGAACAAAAATAAGTAACGCTCACGCTTCTGCTCAGGATTTGCTTCACTTGGCTCATAGTTATAGTTATTCTAAGATCACTAGAATCGAAATCAACTTCTAGTCAGAATCTTCCTTCCCTTTCCGACTCTAAAGTGTCCTGACAGGGTAGCCGAGGGGTACGAGGGGTAGCCGAAGCCGATTCATACCTAACTCGCATGCTGCCCAGAGGCCACACTTCAGGCTCGGCCGAAGCGGACATGAGCGGCTGATTTACGTGCTCCTCGAGCCTTAGGGGGCGCCTGTTGCAGGGTTAGGCCCGCATTCAAATTTTGGTTGGGGAGGAAGAGAGCGAAAAAAATGACTAGATTTAGGAGCAGCGGAATTCTCAAGCTAAAAAGTAAGAGAATCAAGGAGAAATAGTAAGAAAGACTCGTTAGAAAGAAGTATAAATAGAAGTGAGTTGCTTATTATGTCGAGATAAACAAGTAACGAGCCTGATTTGAGAGAGCGAGCTGTTTAGGTACTAAAGTCGCAAATCCACCCACGAGAAAATAGTGAGAGAAGAAAGCCTATTTTTCCTGAAGTACTATTTTTTATTTGATTGCTTTGCAAGAATAAAAATAATATTTTGACATCTTGTTTAATTTATTTTGCCCTTTCATTTTTTGTTTTCAATGTAATTGATGATACTGCAGCTGGATCTTTGGGCACAATTAGTCAAAGTTTCTATGTTCAAAGACCAAAAAAGCCAAGCCTCTTACTCACTGAAGAATTCTAGAAGTTTTTTCAGCGGCCAGCTGTCGGCTATCGAAAGTCTCCGTATTCCAAAATATGTGATAGAATTTTTAATTTTTTAAAGGAATATTTCTTTGAAAAGGTTTTTTTTCACACGAAGAAACAACAACAACAACACGCGAGAAAGTTTGGTGTTCATTAAAGAGAGAAATCTGGCAAACACGAATCATTTTTACGAAATTCGTTAATAACCAAGAGACTACTCAACAAAATGCGTAAATCCAGACCACAAAATGCGTAAATCCAGACCACAAAATGAGTAAATCCAGACCACAAAATGCGTAAATCCAGACCATGAAATGAGTAAATCCAGACCATGAAATGCGTAAATCCAGACCACAAAATGCGTAAATCAAGACCACAACCTTTACTTACTCACGTACCCCAGTGTTGATAGGACGGGTCAGAGTGAGTGTGGGGTGAGTGTGGGGTGAGTGTGGGGTGAGTGCGGGGTGAGTGCGGGGTGAGTGTGAGGTGAGTGTGGGGTGAACAAGGGCTGAAAAAGACCAAGGCGAAAGTGAAAAGAAAAAGAGTGTGATCTGAGTAAGCTGTTAGTGAGTAATGAAAAGAGAGTGAGAGGAAAGTGAAAGGGGAGTGAGGGCTGAGTAATCTTTGAGTGAAGAGTGAAAGAGAGGAAGATTAGGGGCGAATGAGGGGTATGTAAGGAGTGAGACTGAGGAGAGAAACAATGGATGAGTGTGGACTGAGTGTTAATGATAGTTCAACGATAGTTACGCAGTTCAATGAAAAATGTGCAGGAATGCTGGGCTGTGCAGAGCTCTGTCAGAAAATTAGAGTGTATATGAGAGTGACATTTGAGAAGGGAATGTGAAGAAGTGTTGTGGAGGGTAGAGATATATGAACGAGAATTTCTGAGTACAAAAACGCATATGTGAATAATAGAGATGAGTATGTGTAAATGATCATGATTTTATGTTACTGAGCATGCAGGCATGTTAAGGAGTGAAGGATAGTTAATGAGTGTACATGAGTGTAGGGAGTGTACATGAGGAGTGTGGGGAGTGTACATGAATGTAGTGGAGAGTACATGAGTGTAGGGAGTGCACATGAGGAGTGTGGGGAGTGAACGGAGTGTCCAGGAGTGTACATGAGGAGTGTAGGGAGTGTACAGAGTGTAGGGAATGCGCAGGAGTATGGAGAGTGTACATGAGTGTAGGGACTGTACATGAGTGTGGGAGTGTAAATGAGTGCATAGGAGTGTACATGAGTGTAGGGAGTGTACGGAGAGCACAGGAGTGTAGGGAGTGTAGGGAGTATACATGAGTGTAGGGAGTGTACGGAGTGTTCAGCAGCGCTCGCGAGTGTCAGCGACGTGTAGCCCCATCAGTCAGCTATCAGCAGACGCAGCTGACTAGAACAATGCGTATCATCAGCATAATGTTTATACATGAACATCATCGTCATCATTAGTGACATCATTAGCCATCAAATGTTGCTCTGCAGCCCCAACATATGTTAGGTACGCCGCTTCTTGGGCGTCATGAGTCTATACTGCCTCGCAACATGGGTACAACATAGGAATAACATAGGTGCAACATAAATACAATATGTTCAACATAGGGACAACATCGGAATAAAAGTGGTACAACACAGGTAGCCTACAATATAGGGGCAAAATAAAGTACAATATAAGGACGACATAGGTACAAAATAAGTGCAGTAGTGGTACAACATAGGTGTAACATAATTAAATAATGGGGGCGACATAGGTTCAACATAGGTGCAACATGAGAGCAATCTTGGGACAACATAGTTTCATCAGTAGGACCTATAATTTTCACATTTCGGACGTAAATAACATGTATATATTTGGTAAAATTCGTTCTGCATTACATACAATTGTGCATTTACAGCACGACATTTGTAAGGTCAATATATCGAGAACTGATTAGACATCGCAATAATTATCCTTCACTGGTTGGTGAAATCGCGAAACTGGTTTCTTATTTAATAAATAGAACCGACACTCGAATTGAAGAGGCGGAGAAGAGGCAGGGAAGAGGCAGGGAAGAGGCAGAGAAGAGGCAGGGAAGAGGCAGGGAAGAGGCAGGGAAGAGGCAGGGAAGAGGCAGGGAAGAGGCAGGGAAGAGGCAGGGAAGAGGCAGGGAAGAGGCAGGGAAGAGGCAGGGAAGAGGCAGGGAAGAGGCAGGGAAGAGGCAGGGAAGAGGCAGGGAAGAGGCAGGGAAGAGGCAGGGAAGAGGCAGGGAAGAGGCAGGGAAGAGGCAGGGAAGNGGTGTATGGTGGGTGTGTGGTTGACGTTCGAAAAAAATAGATGAGAACTAGAAAATAGAGCAAGAGATGTCTAGATATAAGGATAAAAGTATTAAAGAGCGAAGGATGAAGAGAGAGAAAGATGGTCTAAGAGAAATAGTGAAAGAGAGGGAGAGAAGGAGAGGGAGAGGGAAGGGTGGGGTGAGGGGGTCCGTGATTTAGGGGGGAGCGGGGCTCCCGACAAAATGGCGTCGGATCGATGGCTGCTGAGAGTGAACTGAAATGGAGCACCGGATGGCAACACTGCCAATATGGCGTCTGGAGTGAGGGCGAATGTGACATTTTTGCGTTTAATTTATTGAATTTAGTTGATGTCATCATATAAAAATAAAACGAATTTATCGATTACATTCTCGAGTCAACTTTTAAAATTTGAATGAATTTATGGATTTGGGTAAAGGGACTTATAGCAACAATAAAATTAATTACTTGATTTTTATCATGAATATTTATCGCTATAATTAACTTACTGAATTTACTTTTGCTATTTTTTTAGCTTATGATTCATTAGAGGTTAGATGACAATGACATTTGAATTTGATCATTACTATATTTTTACTTAATATCGGATAACGTCTAAGTATGAGAAGATAAAATTAAAAATTTAAATAAATTTTGTCAATAGCTATGAAGTATAATTTTTTTAGAAAAATGCAGAACTAAATCTGAATGCACGGCGAAATATCAGGTCAGCCGTATGATATTATGTTATATATTATATTATATTATATTATATTATATTATATTATATTATATTATACATTCAAATAAATAGTGAATAAATTTCACGAAATAAATACATTACTTTGTTATCCATGAAGATACGATGATACAATTTTTGATGATTTATACATTAAAAGAAACACAGTGGGGTTGGAAATTTCTTACATAATTAGTTTAAACCTTCAGTAATATATCTGAGCATATATTTTTTGAATAAACTGTACACTTTATTAGCTCTAATATTGAGAGGCGATTGGAGCAAACGTAGTTAAAAGATACTTAAATGTTCGGCGCAGAACCCGTAGACTTTCGTCTCGCTGAGCACTCGCGTGTTTATAGAAATTTATAGTATATGTATCTATAATATAGATATCTTAATATAAATGTCCTATATATATATTTTATATATAGCCTGCGCAAATTCTGCCTAATATCAAAAATAATTATGGCAGTTAATCATCTTGAATTATATCATTATTATTATATAATTAAGGCATTAGTCTGCGACGCTGAATGCTTCAGCCACCGTTCACTTACTATCTTCTTGGCGTTTTCGATGGCATTAACACTGACTTGTGTGCAAATTGCGTATAATAATGCATCAAATTTTTTTCGTTCATTAAATTCTACCGTTCAAGCAATAGCAGCAGTGGAGGCAGCTATAGCAGCAGTGGAGGCAGCTATAGCAGCAGTGGAGGCAGCTATAGCAGCAGTGGAGGCAGCTATAGCAGCAGTGGAGGCAGCTATAGGATATTATCTCTCAGTTCTTGATAAGTTATCGCTTCCACAAACAAAAAAGGCGGCAAAAAAATGCCGGCAGATAACCTGGCCTGGATACCCGCGCACAACGGCATGTTAATACTCAAGAAATTAATGTGTCATTGTGTCCAAATAGTGGCACACTTGATGTATGTAGCACTGATACTTATTTTTGCTGGGCCAAACTGAGTCAGGCTGACCCACACAATGGTAAAAAGTGCATCTCTATTGGGACAAATCCTCACTCATTTATCTGGGTGTATCGGCTTTGTGATTACTCAGAAGAACGTATCGTGAAGTTAATGTCAAGGCTTGTTGAAATGTTTAGAATATGATTAAATAATGAATGTTTAGAATATGAGTAAGATAGTAAATGTTCTGATTATGGTAAGATAATAAATGTTTAGAATATGAGAAAGATAATAAATGTTTTAAATGCGATTAAGATGATGAATGTTTTGAATACGATTAAGCTAATAAATGTTTAGAATATGGTTAAAATAATAAATGTGTTGAATATGATTAAGATAACGAATGTTTAGAATACGATTAAGATAGTAAATGTTTAGAAAACGATTAAGAAAGTAAATGTTTATAATATTATAAAGATAATAAATGTTTAGAATATGATTAAGATGATAAATGTTTAGAATGTGATTAACAAAATTAATGTTTAGAATATGATTATGATACTGAAAGTTTAGAATATGACTTGAAAAAAATGTTTAGAATGTGATTAAGATGATAAATGTTTTGATTACGATTAAGATAATTATGGCAGGTTGGATAATTTGGAGTTTGACTGTAGCGATTTCTAAATATTTAATTAGTGTAATGCTTGCAGATTTGAATACTTTTCTGAACAATATAATTGTATTTGTACATGGCTGAATATTGTACTTGTATTTGTTCTTTCTGAATATTTATTTACAGTAATACGTAATATGTTGCTTAATGTAATATATAACATGAAATTTTCCTTCAATTTCGTTGTAGAGGAAACAAAAATTCAAGAAGTTGACATTGACAACTAATTTTTCGTATAAAAGCTTTTGTCTGCGTCGAGTGTAGCCACCGAGTTAGGGAGTACAGGCTTATTGGGCTATAAAGCGATAAAGATAACAGCGGCTGCTGATAACATGTCACCTCACATGCAGTTACCTATAACAAAATTAATACAAATAATAATAATACATAACATGCTATATACATAACGATCTATATAATAATACATAACGATCTATACGAAACAATTCGCGAGCTATTCCTTCACTGCACTAACGATCTATACGAAACCATTCGTGAGCTATTCCTTCACTGCACTAACGATCTATACGAAACCATTCGTGAGCTATTTCTTCATTGCACTAATGATCTATACGAAACAATTAGTGAGCTATTCCTTTACTGCACTAACTATCTATACGAAACCATTCGTGAGCTATTTCTTCATTGCACTAATGATCTATACGAAACAATTCTTGAGTTATTCCTTACCTGCACTAACGATCTTAACGAAACAATTCGTGAGCTATTCCTTCCCTGCACTAACAATCTAAACGAAAACAATTCCTCAGCTATTCCTTTACTGCACTAACGATAGAAACGAAATAATTCGTGAGCCATGCCTGCATTGCACTAACGATCTAAACGAAACCATTCGTTGGCAATGCCTTTACTGCACTAACGATCTATATAAAACAATTCGTGAGCTATTCCTTTACTGCACTAACAATCTAAATGAAACAGTTCGTGAGGTATTCCTTCACTGCACGGATGGTAACTTATGCTTGTAGAAGCAAGGTTTAAGTGCTGGTAGCCAACCATCACTCGCAGTTATACACTCATAAATATTTGTGGGTGAAGTGACCATCGGCTATGAGGACCAATTGGTCGCGTGGTTCACTGAGGTCATCAGGAAAACATAACCGTTTTGATGGCCACCGGTGGACAAACGTTTTAATGGATACCGATAAATGTGCCGAGTATCAAGTGTCCACCAATTCAATAGTAGAAAATAATAATCATAATGATAATAATAATAACAATAATAAAAACAATAATAATAACAATAATAATAACAAGAATAATAATAAAAATAATGATAATAACAATAATAATAAAATAAAAAATAAATGAATAAAAATTACAAATCAAACAAAGGTTTTTCTTGTGCACCTAAATACGCAAAAAAATACTAATTTTTTCCTCCACTGCGCAGATGTAAAATTTATATATTTATCCACTTGGTGGAGATCCAAGTTCATTAATGGCAGTTAAAGGTTAATTACCAAACAGGAACGAGTATACCCAAACACCTAAAATTATTACAATCATTGAGAAGGCGTAAAATCAACAAAATATTGACCATCCATGAAACAAAACATCCATGAAGCATTCAGCAGCTGAGCTATAATTCCACGATTTTTATCCGGCGGTACGCACGAGTCAAGCTTCTTATCTCTTCTACTGTTGTCTTATCAGGCGGCATAATCGCTTTGTCTTCAGAGGAGAGCGACGCTGAGTGATAGTGAAACACATCCACAGCGTCAGCTGTTAATGCCTCGTCCAAACCGTCATGCCACTTGGTGATATGGGAACCGAAAATTGTGCTTGTAATAGATATTTCATACAAAGGGGATTTTTACAACTTAATTTGTGATGTTTCGATGTAATACTAATGCCTCATGCCACTTGGTGATATGGGAACCGAAAATGGTGCTTGTAATTGATATATCATACAAAGGGGATATGTACAACTTAATTTGTGATGTTTCAATGTAATACTAATGCCTCATGCCACTTGGTGATATGGGAACCGAAAATGGTGATTGTAATAGACATATCATACAAAGGGGATTTGTACAACTTAATTTGTGATGTTTCGACGTAATAAAATATGCTTACGGATGTGGCGGTGCATTCCTTAGGAGATACGAGTATCATAGTAAATTATTGTTATCCTAACCTATTAGAGGAAGGAAATTAGTTATACATGCGTATTTCATTACAGATACGGACCTTCTTTTTTTATTAATAATTCAAATATTCATGAGAACAGCCGTAATCAAATCGTCATCAACACAAATTTCTATAAATGAAGGCCAAATTCGTTTCATAAAATTACTGTTGGACTCTAAATATGTTGGGGAGAATTTGCACAGTTCTTCTCACGAAGCTAGCGACAAGTCATTCTGCTATCATCTAAGCTGTTATTATCAAAGAAAAGAGGATGAGTTCAGTAATTTGCGTCAAGTAATACCTAATTGTGGAAAGCCTTTTCGGGACCGCGCATGCAGCAGCAAGTTATAACACTTGCCGGTACCAGAAAGCTTTTTCAGGACCGCGCGTGATGTAGCGAGTTATGCAACGTGCTGATCCTAAAAATGCCAATAATTTATAAGAAAAGCTGCTTTATTAATATAAATTTTGTACGCTGATTATTTAGTACCATAATAAATTTATTTTTTTTGATTAATGAAGCTATTCGTAGGTTTTTGTGAGGTTTTGTGATTCATCCATCGCAAAAAAGAATGATGCTCGATTGGATGCACCCTGATTAGGCGATCAAAATAGATGATTGTAAGGATAACCTAGGATGATGGCTGTTAATTTCAAGATCATTCTAATTCGACGTCACGATATTCAATGAAAAATTTTGACCGCACACGCATATCATGCATCGCAAAGTTAGCAATGTTATCCATCTGAAATAAATGCTTGGGCCCTACCTATTATCGACGAAAGATGACTTATTCATGAAATTAATTTTAAAAAAATGCAGCGTTTGCAATATGATGTTGTACTTATAGATAACTTCGAAAGCTTTCCCGTTTATCTAAGTTCGTAAATGTTATAGATAATCAGGGCAGTTACCCGGTAGCTATAGGTGCGCTGATATAATCCAGTGTTATATCGGCTTTATAGATAACTAAAATAGGTACTCCGTCGGACAAATTTTGAATTACGTACCGCATTGCAGGTTAAACACTATAATTCCACCCTAGTTTTCTCTAAAAATATTTTCCGTTGCCATTAAAATTACGACGTATTCATCACTAAATTAATCCCGTATTTGCTCTGTATTCGTTACTAAAACTGCACCGCAAGACACTAAAATTACGCCAAAGACGCCATTAAAATTTGACAGTATTTGCAATTAAAATTAACCGTTATTTATTGCTTGAATTTCCCCAAGTCTTCTACTAAAATTATCCCATGTTTACTACTAAAGTTACCCCGCATTTGCCTCCAAAATATTCCGAATTCGCTATTGAAATTAGCCCGTGTTTGCTACTAGAATAACCCCGTATATGAGGCTCAAATCACTCCACGTTTGTCACTAAAACTACCCCGTTTTCGCCCCTAAAATTACCCCAAATCATCCCTAAGAAGCTACTCACGAAGCCATATCCTCTGCTCTTCTCAGTGTTGCGGTCATATATGACGGCAGCTTCCTCGATCTCGCCGAACTCCTCGAAGAAAGCTCTTAGTTCCTTGTCGGTTGTTTCGTAGGGCAGTCCCCCTACGAAAAGTTTGGTCCAGGTTGTGTCTTTTCCACTCTTGCTAAACTGATGATGGCCCATGTTAAAGCTGTTAATGGCTGCCAAGTGAGCGGGGTTGGTGCCCAAGATCGGGTGGTTTAGCATGACATGAGTGGGCGGAAGCTGTGAGTGGGACAATGATACTGGGGCTTGAGTGGGTGGCATCATCATTGTGATGATTGATGTTTGTTCTCCGATACTATACACGGAATTATGGAAAATTTTGAACTGGAAGTTGCAGCCAAGTAGGCGTGCTAGCACCAGGCTTTAGGTGACCGAATGTAAACAAACTATCGTCCGTGCGTAAAATTTCTGATGAAGAAAACAAACGTTTTTTCGCGTTTCAATTGTTTGTTGTGAATGAACCTTTTTATATAATGTTGGTAATTGAACAAATGTCCTAAAAGACCAGATTTTGGGTCAAGATCTAAGTAGTTTTTCACACACACAATAACGAGGACAACTTCACGTTAATTCTTTACTGCTTGCACTTGTAATATTTGTAGAGCTGCTACAATATCGTCAACTGTGAAGCTATAACACGGCCGCAATCTATGCCTTACACAAGAAAACCTGCAATGCAAATAAATTAAATCATTAAGAAATTTGCCACGAGTTTGAACTCGTTTTTCTTACTGTAAAAGTTCAAATAATACATTGAAAAAAAAAATAAAGACAAACTGGAATGATTTAACGAACGACATTGAGAAAAGCTAAATACAATTCGCAACCGGCCTTTATTTAATGGAATGACTGCTGGATTAATGATGAATATAATTTACTGAATTAATGATTCAATAATATTATTTTGAATAATTCGCCAATATTAACTGAGATAATTCACTAATATTATTTAAAATAATTCACTATGGATAGTCAACGGCTTCTTGGCACGCGTGGTGGCGGGAGACTTGAACGCGAAATGCAGCTGCACTGACGCCGGCCACCGCACCGCAACCTCCCACCGCCACCGCCGCTGCCCGACTGACGTGTGACTGACCCGGCGAGTCCTGCGCGTGTGACTGCCGTGCGTCCTGCGCGTGTGACTGCCGTGTGTCCTGCGCGTGTGACTGCCGTGTGTCACGGACAACACGTTTATGTGTCCAGGATAGAGAGTGTAACACGTGCAACACTTTCCTGTTTTACCCCCCCCCCCCACACACCCTCAACACAGACACACAAGTGTTCACGTCGACACTTAATAGCCATAGCTACCTCCGACAGTGTTCGGAGTAAAACTGCATGAGCAGGAGACAGTATATTTATACAGCATATCTACTTTCTTGATATCGTATCTTATTTTTTATATTTACTGTATATTCATACAGTATACTTACTGTAAACACAATATTTTCATGTATCGAAGAAGTGGTGTGTGTAAAGAATTCTTCGTTGTTTTCTTTGAAAAGAATATCGCCTTAAAAAATAAACTTTTTCGGAACTATCTTTAGGTTAACATCATTAACCTGAAGTGCATTAAAACAACAATAGCATTGCTGAGAAAATATTCTTTTGTGAGCATTACATATATAAAGCGAAGGTCGTTGTGTTCTACAAATTTTAAACGTTTATGTTAGGCTAGCAATATCAATAAATTATACGTTGTCAGCGTTTGATAAGTTATCACAAAAATATTGCCGCGCCGTTTACATCAGATAAAATACTTTCGCATTTTCGGAAGTAGTTGAATGATGCAGCGTGCAGAGGGCATTATGTTTATGAATTAAAATAATATGAATGTGAAAAAACATTCTTAAGTCAAACGCAAATGAACCTGTGATTGTGGAACTCGCCCGCAAAAGGACTACGGACCGTCGATGGCCTAAACTTTTACGCAAATGACGTTGAAACCCCGTTTATTAAAGTTGATTTCGTTAAAATTACATTTAACTACCGTTATTTTAACGTGTAGTATCGTTATTTAAGTATCGTTCACACTCAAGCAATAAGCGTGTAATGGTAAACCAATGAAAGTACGGGCAACAACTGAGACGAAGACAGACTTAATTTGTGACATCCTCATCCGATGGATAAGCAGTAGCTAATTGGACATATTTGGTTGAGATATATTGGATATATTTAATAGTAGATATATTTGGACGTTAGCAATAAGCTAACAATTAAAAGGTTCAGCTGATGTATGTGCTCTAGATGATTGTGTACAACAAACTATCTCCGCCAATAGTAGCATGGATTATTATTCGAAATCGACATAATTGACGATAAAAAGATGATTATATTGAGTAAACGTCCTTATAATACCATCAAATTGTTAAAATTTGACACAACATAAATTGCAATTCATAACTCGGCCGGTACTCTCGAGCGAATGCATGGCATCAGATGTATCGGTTGTTGCGCTCTCATATGCGACCAAAAATGCGAGGGCTCGTCTGACCGAAGACCAAGACACGCAACTCAATTCAACCTCAATTCAATGAGGGAAAGGTAATGGCATTTGAACTTTTCAATGGAATAAAATTAATTTCTCTCATATATTTCAATTTAAAAAAACTAAACTGAAGGTTAAGATCCACAGTTACAATACACGTGCGCTTGGAGAAAGGTGAGAGGCGGTGTCTAAAAAGCGATGCACTCATTGTACTGTTGTGGGTCGCCCTAGCCCAGTTTAGCCCGTACGTGAGTACCAGTGCATGCTACATGCAGAAAAAATTTCAGTATTTGGATGACATGACCCATCCATTATTTTGAGTGTGCTGAGTGCTGAAAACGAACAAAGTGTGCTAAAAACGAATTTGAATGTGTGCTGAAAACGAACAATGTTTGAAAGTTCGTGCGCAAGAACTAAATTTCTCAACTCACGAATGCGTATCCTTTGCTCTTCTTAAGCTCCTTGTTGAGGATAATAGCAGCTTCCTTTATCTCGCCGTACTGCTCGAAGTGCTTGCTCAGCTCTTCATCCGTGGTGTGGTAAGGCAACCCGCCTACGAACAGCTTCGTCCAAATCGTCCGCGGGTTTGTGCCGTTTAGGAGCGCGTGTAGCAAAAGGGCTTCTACCTCCCGAGGGGTCTTGCCAGGGACCGGCATTAAAATTAAAGGATACATGGGGGCTTGAGGGGGAGCTAGGGATGACAGGGGGGAGGTGGTGGGTGGGGGTGCGAACATCATCGCCATAAGAGGCGAAGCGAACGCAAAACTCTTCTCAATTTTTTGGATTAATTTGTTGATTTCCGTTGCGTTCAAGCCTATGTGAAAGTTGTTCACTAGAATAATGAATATTTTGACGTTTTCACTTCAATTATAAGTCTTTAAACAGGCTTAGTTTGGTTTAAAAAAAACTCCATTCCTACTACTTGTCGTAAGCAAGTATCGAAAATCAAGATTTTATAATATACAGTTGAATGTCCAAATTACTGGTTTTGGAGTGTTTCAACATGAAATTATTCAATTTTGAAACTTAATTCCTAAATCATTCGGTCAGAACTATATATATGGTACCTGAAAACACGGGGGTGATTCATACGGCTAATTTTTTTACAATTTAGAGTCTAGAAAGAATGCAATTGGAGATAACAATCATTTGCGTTCTTTATTCGTTCTACAACTATTAAATTTTTAATATATATTTTCTACAATATTGACTGCACTTCATAGCAGTTCCGATGATGAGGTGGCGAAGATGTAGTCGCAATGTGATGATTTAGTGAATATATGATGATGAATAGCAATTACGGATGTGGTGACGATACCGTGATATTGTGAAGATATGTTTGCTGTGCGATGATGATGTGGTGACTACGAAAATGATGCGAGGCTGATTATGTGGTAACGATGATGTGATGTTGAGTGGAAGTCGATGGTATATTATGTGATGACGATGTCAATTATGTGGTGACGATGATGTTGACTTTATGATTGCGATGTGATGATAATGTGGTGATGATGTGATTATTATTTGTTTATACTGTAAGGAAAACGAGGCGATGATGGTTTTTATGATGTGCTGACATGTATTTTTACGTTGTGATGATGCAGTGACGAATTTTTCGGATTCACGGTGTGGTGATGATGAAGTATTGATGTGGTATTGATGATGTTGCGAGAATATTATGATAATGATGTGGTGAAGATCAAAATGTGATGATATTATGAAAATGCTACGACGATAAAGAAATGATGATCGATGGCGAACATAATAAATTCAAATCAACTTAGAAAGTTCAACACTTTGCCCTCACATATGCCAACACAGGAGAGAGTGTCTCATTAGCTCACGGTGCTTGCATCGGTTCAATAATCAATTTATTTCGTGTACATGTTTTAATTAAATCCGAACTTAATATGACGAAATTTACATGAATACGATGGCTGATCATAAAAATTACTTTCTAATTGGATTAGAAATCAATTGCACTACTACAAGCTAAATTTTCTTTTTCGCGATCGCGTTTTAATTTCTTTCACCAAACTGAACTAATAACATATATCCGCTTACAAATGAATGTCATTGACATGGGCAGGCTAATGACCAATGATTGCAGTACTCAAACGTGACCACGCAGGCCTCCCGTGTCATTCGATGTCGCAGCACCAAACTACCACAGCCTATAATTTGCAGTCCACTGCAACGATACAGTCACGCAGTGTCAAGCATTTGCGTACATGACTGCCACAACTTCCAACTTTCATAATTGAGTCACTTTCAGCCTCACTAATCGAAAGTTTTTTCATAGATTCGCTGTAGAGCGAGCAGAGTTTTCAAGATAATTTCAAAAAGGAGTACTTCCTTTTGACGCATAAATAAAGTGATTTTTCATTACCCTGTATTATTAGTGAACGGCACATGAAGTAACACAATAAATTGAATAAATACAGTCATATACAGTCCCGGTGAAAAGCTGTACATTAATATAGGGTTAAATAAATGGATGGATTGAAGGCTTGATGTGCTAGTCCAGAGTTAAGCCGCACAAGAGCTTTGACGCTCCGCATTGTTAACGTTGCTAGCTAACACTGGCGGCTATTGGTTAACTCTGGCCTTATGACCCTCACCCTCCCTCACCCTTTGACCAATGAACTGCCTTATCTTGAGCACGCGAGGGCCTTAAAGCTTCCCCTCGTCGATATCTGATGGAACGCTCCACATGACCTCGCCATGTCGGACTGACGCCGAACCAAAATCCTAACACTTTTTTTAATCCGTTCTTCTACGTAAACCATGTACGCACCTCGAAAAACATTAACAATAATTATCCAACAAATAATTATTACTAATAAAAGTGGAAAAACATGGTTTAAAAGGCATAAACAATGATTTTAGCGGCGAAATAAATGGTAGCCACCCATGCACTTATCGCTCAGATCAGCAGGCTCGGCCACTTGCCTGCAGCAAACTAAAGCGTTTCATACTTTATTATTCACTTCAAGAAGATAATCTCTTAGCGACGACTTAGAGTGAAACGATGATTCGGGCAATCAAATGGAGCAAATGATCATTTCCGAGTCTGTATTGAATATCAGCCGTTAAATTACTACAAGTAATTCTGGGACTGATGATAACAACTGATAGCTTGCGCGCTGCTCAACGGTACACTCGCATGCAAAGTATCGCTGTTCTCTTATCATGATCTTTGGCTTCGGTGCAACTCACTTTGCAAATCAGAAGCTCCTAATTAAACCTGACAATTGGCGAGTGATGATCTAACTACATATTTTCTATCTTTTCAACTAAAATAATAAATGATAAATAATACTAAGCTGGGATAATGTCGATAACGAATCGCCTTCATCCCAACGTCTCGGTTTAGTTCACAAGGAGCAGTACCCTAGCCTGCACGGGTGAATGCCAATATTATTGCATTAAATATTAAAATCACTAGATTACTTAAATCGCAAGTTAATTAAGAATTTAAAAGCAAAAAAAAAAAACAGCCAAAAATTCACCAATCGAATGAGAACGCTTCGGAGTCAAGCTCCAGCGTCTGTTCAAAACCTATAACCTATAAATTATAGGTTTTGAGTTGACGATGGAGCTAGACTCCGAAACATTCTCATTCTTAAGAAATTGCGAATTTTTTGGCTGTTTTCTTTGCTTTTAAATTCTTGCACTAAATGAATTTTTTGTACAAATATAAATATATTTTTTTTTCCTGTACGGTGGGTCATCCTGATTCAGTTTGGCCGGTTATAGTACGTATCAATGCTACGACTGTTCTCTGCTCGTGGGGTGGGTGGAAAAGTGTGTCATAATTTGGCCAATGTGATCTTTTCATTTGCCTGAGTGAGGGCATAATTAGTGGATTTAAAGAGGAGATGCAAGCCGTGCTTCAATATATAAAATTCCTCATAAAATTCTTCATGCCATAAAATTAAGCACAGAAAAGGACGACAGTCCCACTATAAGCATTTGATGTAATAACGTTGATTATCCTCTGATTTCGATTAAACAACGATTAATCAAAGTTATTTATCAACTCGTAATCATCGTCTATATATGTTTCAACATCATTTGCCTTGAGATTTTATTCTCGATAAGGTCCGTAGCAAACGTTAAGTGTTCAAGTGGTATAGTTAGTGAATACTGACAATTATTAAGTGCTGCATTTGGTGTAGCGCTTAACAATGGGTATGTATTCAAGTATAGTGAAGTTAGTGTAACTTGACAATTGTTAAGTGCTGTATTTGGTGTAACACTTAACAATCGTTAAGTATTCAAGTATATAGTGTAATTAGTGTAACTTGACAATTATAATTGTTAGCTGCTGTAGTTTGTGTATAGCACTCAACAATCGTTATAAGTGCTACTCCAATATAAAGAGCGTAATTGCGTCGTCAGGGCCGCAGCTTCCATGTTGTAATAATGATAAGCGGAAAAGCAGAAAGAAATCAGCACTGTACTCGAGCAATAATAATGAAACAAAAGCATTTATCTGGTCAGATAAATTACATTAATAAATAGAGATGATACTATTGTAGATATTGTTGAATATTAACTGTGCGATATGATTCCCAACAGAAGCAATTTAACAGTGCCACGAATCCGAAATCAGTAATTCGAACAACTGAATGATTTATTATTGATGTATCGTTTAATTCTAGCGCACATTAACTGAATATCCTATTTGTGCACATACAAAGAAATGAGTGAGGCTTTGTCCAAATAGCGGACAAAGGACAAAAAAAATATAACTCAGTACTCACTGCAGTGAGTGACAGAGAGCGCATTTTCTCGTCGACGAAAACTTGAGGTCACGGACGGACAGACAGACGGACGGACGGACAGACGAACGGGCGGACAGACGGACGGACATGGAGAGCACAATAGTGCATTTTTCCATAAATGAGAAAATGCGCTAAAAATCGCATTTTTTACCCCGGATGGGCCATCCTAACCCATTTGAGCTCGGCTAAAAGGCATATATCGGTCCTACGTCCACTTTCTGCTCGTACAGTGGTTAACAATGAGCTTCACTATTTAGACATTGTGAACCATTTATTTTACTGAGTGTGTGTATAATTAAAATGCAATAAACAGGGTTGTTCTCAACGGACTATCCTATTCAAGCGCAGTGCACTAGACCATCAAACCAAACTCAGTAAAAAAATTTATTCAGATTTGATAAAATATCATTAATTTCTAAAATTGAGAATGTTCGAAAATTATTTTTTAGGTTTAGTGAACTTCCATCATTTTTGTTTAGGATTCAGAGGTAACCTCGCTGAATTATAGCACTCCTACTTAATAATATTAGCAAATATACGCGTAAAGTTTTCAATAACGTCTCCTGTGTGACACTCAATACTCCTGCTCTAAATTACCATAAAAAAATAGAGACTAAATTAGGACAAACCGCTTAATTTAGGAATATAAAAAAAACATTTGAGCATGATAAATATGTTGCATCCACAGGAGGTGACGCATAATCAACAGTTAAACATTATAGAAGTTCAAATTCACATTATTCACTGTTAAAAATTCTAAACTTCTAAAATTCTAGTCAACTTACGAAGCCATAGCCCTTGCTCTTGCCGGTCTGTCTATCGATGATAACAGCTGCCTCTTCAATCTCGCCGAACTCCTCGAAAAACTCCCTGAGCTCCTGATCAGTGGTGGTGTAGGGCAATCCTCCTACGAAAAGCTTCGTCCAGGTGGTATCCTTCGCAGGGGGTTGAAGGTTAGCTGCTGCCGCTGCTGCGTAAGCGGCGTCAAGTTGCGGAAGCGAAGGATGCAGCGCCGAGGCGTAGGCGCTCGTCGCCAGGGCTGAGGAGGCCGGGACCATCATACTGAATGTGGGGCGGTGGGGGGGGTGTGGGCCAGGCGGGAAAAAGGTAGTGCAATGTGATGTGGTTGTTGATGGTAGATGTGTTAATTGTAGTTAATTTAATTAATAATAATTAATAGTTTCTTTGTTCAATGCAGTGGTGAAGAATAGATGTTACTTTTAGTTTAGGTGGGCTTGTCGTCAATTGCGTTAATGACGGATGGTAGTTCCAATAGTGGCCTTTATTTATTGCACTTATGTGTTGAACAATTAAAGTTATGTCTGTTGGCTGCTTTAGTTCGTTATCATTAATACACTTGGCACAAATCAGTGCTGCTGAGCCTTTTTGTCACGGAGTAATCAATAGATTTTTTGTAATAATTGACCGGGATAAATTTGTGACCTGGCGAGGAAAAATTTTTCATCAAATGTGAAAGTCCAACAATTGACCAACGAAATGGTGTTTGTGCCGATTTGGTAGATATTAGGTCAAGTGAAGATAAGTTGGTTCAATTTCTTGAACAAATTTGTATGTAATATTTTCCCGGTGGGTGCTATCACTCGAAATTCCACTGATACCAAAACAACAGGCCTTATTACCTTATTTATCTATTATTTCAGTCTTATTTCAAATCACCACTTCTCATACAGATGGAAAAATATTTTCCTGCTTCTAATTAAGAAATTATTTTGATTAATTTCAAATTTTATGATATAATCGAGTAGTATGATGAACAATAAGTTGTTCAGTAGAATTATTCGGTATCAATTCACGACTTCGTAAAACACTATATTATTTTCACAATTATTTTCACAGTAATTTCACACATGCCATATCAGACGAATAAAATTCTGTTTCAGAATTTCTTATGAGTTTTACTCTCGTATAAACTTTATTCATTCAACTTCACAAATTTTCAAAATATCAAATAATCGTCGTATAAAACTCTATAAAAATTATACAAATCTTATGCATAGAGATTTCAAGTATCACTGAAAAATAAATATGAAGATTATTACTTAATTATTTCGCGTATACATTTTACTATCAACTGTGGTGACATAAGTACTAAAAAACGCTTATTAACTTTATTATAATAAAATATATATTTTTTACAGTACGCAAATAGTAATATTTGCGTACTGTACGAGATGGGGAAAACGTGCAAAATAAAATGCACTATATTCCATCGCCGGATCAATGTCAATAGATATAGAAATTTCAACTGAGAAAATCTGAAAGTTAAGTTGAAAATCAATATCCTGAAGTTTTCACTTTAACCCTTTAGCGTCCAACTGTACATCTGTATATTGCCGTTTAAAATAGCGTTTATGTTATATATGAAACCCATTCGTCCGACTGCACAAATATATCACCTTTAATTTCAGGCCTGGAATTAGGTCAGCGGACATATACGAGTATGTCTCCTGTATAATTTTTTAAAAACAATTACAGCAATTTTTTATGAATGCCATGTGGCATTTTACACTCGCAGGAAAATTGAAAGGTTGAATATATATTTCATTGCAAAAAAAAATGTAAGCGCATAAAACGAACGGGCAGGCGGCGCACGTGCAAAGTTCCTAAGACAGACAACATCCGGCTTCCGACTGTCGTCAAGTCTCTTCGAATCTCTCATCATATTAACACTGACTTTTAACTCTAAATTTAGAACATGCACTATTCAAGTTTGCATATTAAATAAACTAAATGTTATTTCTATCACAGAAAAAACGCATGATGACTTGGAAGTGTGAGGAAAGTTTTGCACCCGAGCGCCGTGAGCGGCAGAGCTTTCGCCAGCGCGACTTTCGCTACGCTGCGGCTACGGCGATACTGAGCCCTCATGCCGGTGCCTACTTACCCTCGCTGCCCTCGCAGGTAGCCCTCATCGCCCTCACTAACCCCACCGGTAACCCGCCCCTCCCTCACTTCCCTCGCCGATAACCCTTTGCGCCCTCATTATTCTCGCCAGTAACCCGGCTCTCCCTTCGCCAGTAACCTGCCGCAAAAGTTGCTAACTTTTCTCGAACAGTTCACGTCAGAGCTTGCGGATGCTACCTGCCTCTCCCTCACTACCCTCGTCGGTAACCCTTTTCACCCTTAGTATCCTCGCCAGTAACCCGCCTCTCCTTCAATATCCTCGCCACTAACCCTCCTCTCTGTCGCAGGTAACCTTCCTCGAACTCACCACCCTCACAGGAACCCTCCTTGCCCACACTACCCTCCGTAACCTTTAGAAGAGGTTATTAGATTACCAACTCTGTACGTTCTCTATCCTCGTTTAGTTTTTTAATTTCCTTACTACCATTACTCTCTCCTCATCTGTAACATTTGTCACATTCGTTGCCCTCTTTCTGTCGTCTGCGACCCGACCCCGCTGTACATCTTCCCTCACTATTCGCTCTCGCTACCATCACCGTTCTCCCCTTCTACCCTCACTATTCTCCCACGCCACCCTCACCATTTTCCCTTGCTACCCTCTGTATTTTTCCTCGCTACCCTCACAATTTTCCCTCGCTACCCTCACCATTTTCCCTCGCTACTCTCACCATTTTCCCTCGCTACCCTCAAAATTTTCCCTCGCTACCCTGACCATTTTCCCTCGCTACCCTCACCATTTTCCCTCGCTACCCTCACCATTTTCACTCGCCACCCTCGCCATTTTCTCTCGCCACCCTCACCATTTTCCTTCGTCACCCTCACCATTTTCTCTCGCCACCCTCACCATTTTCCTTCGCCACCCTCACCATTTTCTCTCGCCGCCCTCACCATTTGCCTTCGCCACCCTCACCATTTTCCCTCGCTACCCTCACAATTTTCTCTCGCTACCCTCACCATTTTTCCTCGCTACCTCACCATTTTCCCTCGCTACCCTCACCATTTTTCCTCGCTACCCTCACTCTTTTCCCTCGCTACCCTCACCATTTTCTCTCGCTACCCTCACTCTTTTTCCTCGCTACCCTCACCATTTTCCCTCGCTACCCTCACCATTCTCCCTCGCTACCTTCAGTCCGGAGCGACAGCTGTGGTATCTCCCACCGCACGCACAAGCGTGAACGATGTAGCGCTCTAGTGAACAGTGCACTGAGGCACTGGCTCCACCCTCTCTATAGTTTTAAGGTTAAATCATTACATGCCCTTCCGATTACGCGAAATATTTAACTAGCTAATCATCTAAATAAGTTCCAGATTATCAACATTGGAGATGTGTAACGTTTTACCTAAACCTAGCATCAAAATCTACGAAAATGCAATGCCCCTAAAGTAACTAAATAGAATTAGGTATCAATATGATGAGTATTTTCGAAAGTTTAACTCCTATATACTATAAATGGCGCTGTTACACCAGATATTAGGCTGGCACACGCAACAATGTACGCACCCACACACCGGTTATTTTAATCCTTTACAAAATTCTCTAGCTATACCCAGTTCCCCGGGACTGTATAGGAACTAACGCTTGAACTTTCGGATTAAAAATCCGACCGAGTTCTTGTAGGATAGGTATCCCTGACGTGGGATTAGCCCTGCTGAGGATGCACCGCGTTGAACCCTGAATCCCTCACACTCCAACACCATCGATGGTACCTAAAACTGATACAGAATTACAATTGCAAGTGAACATTGCAAGTGTACGGAATTGCAAGTGGACATGAAATTCCCGTTCATCGTAGTATCCAAAATCATCGTAGCTCATCGTGTTCCACTCACGTTCATTGTACGTCTTATGATCATTGTACGAATCATGATCACCGTGCCACTCATGATCATCACGATCATCGTGCTCCTTACGATCATCGTGCCAAAGATGATCATGATGCCAATCGCCACCATAATCAGGCCGCTCTTGATCATACGAGAAATAAACGTTCACTATATAATAATGATAGAAATTTAAAATGCAGTAGGTGGAAGGTTAACAATAGTCATGCCCACTAAGATGCTAACCCAGGTATGCAAGATGGATGCCCTGAAAGTAAGGTAGGTGGAGGGTTAACAATAGCCATGCCCACCATGATGCTACCACAAGAATGCAGTAGGTATATAGCTACCCTGAAAGTAAGGTAGGTGGAGGTTTAACAATAGTCATGCCCAAGATGTTTATTTCTCAAGATATATATTTCTCAAGATATGTTATCAAGATGTATATTTCTACCCACCAAGATGCTACCCCATGCAGGCAAGTACGCATGAAAGATGCCCTGATTTTAGGTAGGTGGAGGGTTAACAATAGTCATGCCCACCAAGATGCTCCCATAGGTATACAAGTTTCTGTTGCTCATTCGGTGTGTAGTCAACCACATCTGCTTGTCGTTGGCACCGCTGGCAGACGCGGACACAGATTCCTCGCTGTCAGCTTTTATCTCAGGAACGCGCTGTCAGATTCTATTCCTGCCACGGTACTAATCAGGTTACCAACAGTGGTGAAATACTTATAAAAATTTAGACGAATGTGTGTGATTAGGTTTGTTCTTAATTAATTTTGAATTATCCTCAGCGTGTTTTTAAAATGTTTTGTCTCATTTAACTTTTCATAGTCTAACAAAATTTGCAATTATGCATTTTTAAATGACAAGCTGGCTTAATTTATAAAAGTTTCACCAGAAGACAAGATCGTTGAAACTCATTTACCAGTTGTTTGTGAACCTCTTGGCCTCACTGTAGTCAAAACTCTCGCTAAAAACGAACAATTCGCATGTTTTTGCATTGTCGATATTCTTTAAATTTGCAGACACAAAGATTGCTTTGACACGGAACTCTTAGCACAAAAATTGTGCGTTGTTCAGAAGCAGACTCATTAAAAGTAGGTACATGTGAACAGACTTTTTTCAGATAAATGAAAGGGACTTTGTTAAATGTAATGAAATTTCTGCCCTTGTGTTTGGCCCGGTAAAAGACGTACGAAGGGAGAGATTATTATTATTATTATTCATTGATTCTGAACCCTGGTTTTCAACTACAGCTTTGTGTCATCCTACCTGAAATCTCTATTGCATTGAATTTTAATGAGATTCAACCTACAATAGGCGTTTTGGGGCTGGTCGCTATCTATAGAGTACAACGAAGAAACAACTAAACCGATACGCAATAAAACAGAAATAATAGAACCTGAAGTTAAATAGTTTTGGATACAAATGAAGGAATGTTTAAAAATAACCATCATATATTTACATATCAAATGAACAATTCACGCCTTTTGAGGAAGCCACACTCTGAACAAGCGAAAGTTGAGGGGAGTGCTCGGAGTCATCGACCTGGCCACGACTCTCGAGCTCATGGCTATATTTTTTGCTCGCCGACACGCCAGCAAAGTTGCTCACTACCCTCTACTTCCTCGAGTTTTTATGGCTGTCACGAACGCGCGTTTCTTAAAGAGCTCTTCGCTCCTGTTCGCACTCTCTTCTCTAAGTTACTCTCTAACTTTATGGCTGTCACGAACGCGTGTTTCTTAAAGAGCTCTTCTCTCCTGTTCGCACTCTCTTCTCTAAGTTACTCTTTAACTTTATTTTTCATTGTAGCGTGTGCTCCTGTGTGAATAAATAAATAAACTGTTCGCACTCTCTTCTCTAAGTTACACTCTAACTTCATTTTTCATTGTAGCGTGTGCTCCTGTGTGAATAAATAAATAAATAAAAATAAATAAGTATCTGCTCACTCTCTTTCACAATTACTTCAGGGTGCAGAATCGGGGTTCATTTCAGCACGGCAGAATACATTTCCATCAAGCAGATTATTGAGAACGTTAGTATTTGTGAACGATTGTATCAGTAAATAGTATTTCGAGGAAACTTATGGTGTCATTCATTAAGCAGGAATGAGTACACAATAATTATTCCGTGTTTGATACAGTCAAACACCGATTTGTCAATTTTGTGTTTCTAAATCCACTGCAAATTTTCGATAATTAAAGGGATTTGGTGCCTAGACAACGGAAATTATTTGAAACAAAGTACTATTCCTGATTCCTAAAAAAGGTTTCCAAA